TATTCTTCTTATGTGCAAAGAACTGAAGCCACAAATTTTTCTCTAAGGTCTGCTTTAACCGTGTCCCACAAGCTTTGATACAGTGTTTTTATCATCATGCAGTTCAAACTAATTTCTAATTTCCATTTTGATTTCTTCTTTGACCTATGGGTCAAAACATACTTAGAAGTATGTTGATTAACTTCCAAATATTTGAAGTTTTTCTAGGTAATTTATTATTGATTTCTAATTTAATTTAATTGTGGTTAAAAAACAAACAGTATGGTTTTAACTAAGACCTATTTTATGGTGCAGGGTATGGTCTCAGTGAATGTGCTGTGTGGACTTTAAAATAATGTATAATCTGCAGTCGTTGAATGGAGTATTCTATGAATGTAAATTAGGTCAATTTTACTGATAATATTATTTGAATCTTTCATATCCTTTCTGATTTTTTGCCCATTTGTATAATTCCATTTTCTGTACTTTCCATCCTTTTTAGTTTTGTTCACATATATTTTCCTCTACGTGCCTTGCAAGCATTACAAGATATTATTTTTTTAAAAAACTATGAACTGACTTTTAAAATGTTTAAGAAAGAAAGATAGTCTTTTATATTTAACCATGCATTTTTCATTTGATTTTTAAATGGTTGTGTAATACTTGTACATAGTTATGTTATGCATGTGATATTTTGATACATACACAGAATGTGCAATGATCAAGTCAGGGTATTTGGGATATCCATCAGCTCAAGCATTTATCATTTATTCGTATTAGGAATAATTCAAATCACCTTTTCTAGCTATTTAAAAATATATAATACATTGTTGTTGTTAACTATAGTCATTCTACTGTGGTATTAAACATTAGAACATATTTATTCTATCTAACTACATGTTTGTACCCATTAACCAATCTTTTTTCATCTCAACCTCACATATATCCTTCCTGGCTTCTGGTAACTATCATTCTACTCTACCTCCATGAAATCAACTTGTATTTAGCTCTCACATGTGAGTGCAAACATGTGAAGTTTGCCTTTCTGTAGCTGGCTTATTTTACCTAACGTAATAACCTCCAGTTCCATCCATGTTGTTGCAAATGACAGGATTTCATTCTTTTTTATGGCTGAATAATGCATAAACTACATTTCCTCTAACTATTCATCTATTGATGGACACGCATTGTTTCTGTATCTTTGCTGTTGTGACTAGTGCTGTGATAAACATGGGGGTGCAGGTATCCTTTTGATATACTGATTTCCTTTCCTTTTGATCCATTTTCACTAGTGGGATTGAGAGCTCATCATTCTTTCCTGTACACCACAAATTTCACCTGGCATCAATTTCTTCTACTTTCATATTAGCATTTCTTAGCAGCTATATAGCTAATAAATTATTTATTTTATTCATGGAACTTTAATTTTTCCTTCATATTTGAAAGCTATTTTTTGGGTGGTGGGTGTAGAGGTTAGGGGGAAGCTTCCTCTCTTGTATCTAAAAGTTCACTGAAAATTAACAAATGTAACAAATTAATGTAACAAATTTACAATAGCAGGATACTAGAAAGAAAAGGCATACCAGTGTATTTAACATGGATGAGCCCAGGGGAGTTGCTAGAGAATGATAACTCAGTAACTCAGTGAGGTCCAGATGCTTCAATACCCTTCTTCACAGGGGAAAGGGAGATGGGAGAAATGTGGTCATTCTGAAGAGCAGTAAACAATTTTCAGGGAAAATGGATGGACCCAATACTCAGACTATTTTTAATAAATAATTCTTTTTAGGCATTGAATAGGATTAGAGATAAAGATCATCTGGGTTCTAGGTGTGGTGTTTAATTTTTAGATTTTTTTTTCTCTCTGTAATATGAGTTGTAATCTTCCCTAAATAATTAAATTTCAGGGAGGAGATGGAAGATAATTGTGTTTCTCTTTGGTGGGTTCAGTTTCCAAGTAGATAAAAGAACTTCAGAGAATAGCCTGTGCTTTGGAACAGACAAAGTATTGAGAGATGGAGTGAGGAGGGGAAGGTCAGAGAGAATTGAGGCTACTTCTTTACTTGTATGTCAAAGTGCCATGTTTTGGGGTATCATTTTCTGAGTTCCAGCATTGGATGTACAATGCTAGGTTGATAGTGTTTTACTTTCAGCATTTTGGGATTTCCATTGGTTTTTTTTTTTTTTTTTTTTTTTCTGATGAGTAGTTTGTTGTCATTCTTGTTGTTCACATGTTAAATTCAGCAACTGAGATGGCTTTGGATAGGACGATGTCTTTAATACGTCTAACAGGAAGGTCTTTTCTTGCTATTCATCCAGCACATAACTTTTGGCGTTGATAAGTGATTGATTGCCTTTGATCCACCGGTGAGCTTGGGGAGGGGCTGATTGTAGCTTTGTTTAGATTCAATCTGCCTCTACTGTTAAATGCTTTCTAGGTGACTTTAAGCTACCGGCACCAGGAAGTCCCTGGGACCATGCATTGCAAACTTTGAGATCTCAGAACTGTGAGACTTTGGATCTGCTTGACCATGAGCCTCTAAGACTATGAAACCGCAAATGTTGTGGCTCTGGGATAGTTGGACGTTGAGACTGTGAGACTGCAATGCTAAGGCTGTGTCTTCTCAGAATGAGAGTCCGGGATTCCTTCTCGTTGGCGCACACCATACATTAGTCATGGGATTAACTCATAAAGCATTGCTAGGTCATAAAAGAAATATTTTATCTGGAGTATGCGATCAAATTTTAAACATTGTTTTAAGATATGTGTGTGTGTGTGTGTGTGTGTGTGTGTGTGTGTGTGTGAGAGAGAGAGATACTCAATCTACTAATTATGCCGAACTCAGAAGGGGCAGCCAGTCATTTGAAGGTGGATAAGTTTCTATTGCACGTTTGGATTCGATAAATAATGCCATAGGCCCACAGACTCACCTGTCTGGGGAGGTGGGATGTAATGAACACAATCAGTAGAGAATTGAGAGTGCTGAATAGAAGGTTCCACAGTTAGGCTGTAGAAAAACATGACACACTTTTACTCTATCCAAAACAGTAAGAAACCACCAGATCCCATCTCTCTTCCTTCTCCAATACATATCAAAGCGGTATGGAGACAAGGACATTTTAAAAGAACTAAACTCCACAGGGAGGTGTCCTTTCCAGGTGAGCAGGGATGGAGGACAGCTTCATACCTGTGCCACATGCTAATGCTGAAAGCAGGGGATGTGGAAGAGCAATTCTGTCAAATAAAGCCATTCTCCATTTGGATGAAGAGAAAATGTTCAAAGCTTTGACAAACCTGGGAGCTGAAATGTTGAATTTAAATCTCAAGAAATTCCTCGCCACGAAGTCATTCTTTTACATGGGAGTTTTGCTGCAGAAGGGGCTGAAAAACAGAAAGGGAGACTCTCCCTTCTTTATAAGACGCTTTGTGATACATAATAGTAATTACATCCATTGCCTAATTTCAGAGCGATTAGCTAGTGGGTGTTTTGTGTGTAGTAGAAATGTCAAAGATTATGCAAGATAACCTAAATCCACGGGTGCTATGAAAATACAATCAAGGTTAAGTTTAAGGTCTTTGAAAATGGATTTCATTAAATAGGCAAAATTATCTTTCTTGGTTTTCACTTTGGCCATTTGCGAAAGCAATGGATTTTCTTTTTATTGGTTGACATTGATTGCACACAGCAAGTAGGTTTTATATATGAATATTAGAAGCTGAAAAGAAGAAAGCAGATGATTCATAACGAAGCAGGCACATCGGTATGCTAGCTGACATCCCGTCTTAAAGATGAGGTGTGATTGGGATGTTGAAAAAGTTCTGGGGAAGGATGGTGGTGATGGTTGTGTAACAACATGAATATGCTTAATGCCCTGAATTATTTACTTTAAATTGGTTATAATAAATTTTTTGTTACCTATATTTACTCCAATTAAAAAATATATTAGGTGTGAGCCTTTGGATTTCATCTGCAGCAAAAAAAGTTCCCCAATAATTGTTCATCCAAATAAAGACTTTGAAGTACAGTGTTAGTAGACCAAATAGCTTTTGTGCTGTGTGTACTTTTGCTTAAACTTCACAAGGAAATGTGAAAATGAAGAAGATATAAATCTGAGTTGCGTTATCTCCCTCCTGTAACAACAATTAAATTGTTGAAGAGTAGGAGGCTGTAGAAATTTCAAACTAATTACTAGCCAATTGGGTGACTTGGAGATTTTTTTCCTTCCCCTTTTCTCTTTCTAGGCTTCTATTTAAAAAAAAAAATCTGTAAAATGGTGATAATGATAATGGAAAGTGCTTAGCATAGTGACTGGCCTCAATTAATGGTGACAATTACTTCAATAAAATCCTTTCCTTCTAAAAGCAGATTGTCAGTTATCTTCCATTCTTCAGTGATTATGAACATTAGGAACATGGGAATTTCATTGTATTGTTAATTTTGTAAAGCTTTTGGGTGTCATGCCTCAGGACTTAGTAGAATTGCTTTATTCATAAAATTTTTTAAAGGGAATTTTTTTTTTTTTTTTTGAGATTCTCACTGTATTGCCCAGGCTGGAGGGTAGTGATACGATCTCGCTCACTGCAACCTCCGCCTCCTGGGTTCAGGTGATTCTCCTGTCTCAGCCTCTCGAGTAGCTGGGACTACAGGCATGCGCCACCATGCCTGGCTAATTTTTTGTATTTTTAGTAGAGACAGGGTTTCACCGTGCTGGCCAGGCTGATCTCAAACTCCTGACCTGATGATCCGCCTGCCTCAGCCTCCTAAAGTGCTGGGATTACAGGCATGAGCCACCGTACCCGGCCTAAAAGGGATTTCATAAAGAATAATGTGAAGTATTTCTGAAAACAAACAAACAAACAAAAAAACATGATGCAGGATTTTCACCCAACCCATATTTCATTTGAAATATGTGAGAAATTAGGTATGTTCTCAGTATGAGTTTGTGAAGTAACAAATATAGTTTTCCGCTGAAATTCGGTGATAACACAGACCTCACTGGCTCTCCTTTCTTCTCTGCAGACCTTTGCAGGAAACATGAATGCTGACAGTGTGGTGCACCACAAGCTACTGCACTCAGTGAGGGCCCGATTTGTTCGCTTTGTGCCCCTGGAATGGAATCCCAGTGGGAAGATTGGCATGAGAGTCGAGGTCTACGGATGTTCCTATAGTAAGTACTCACATGTACCCTTTACCATTGCTGAGTGTGAGTGGCATTGCCTATGTAATATCAGTTTATCTACATTGAGACTGACAATCATCTTATTTTAAAGTTGTTTCTAGACTTTCATATGCATATTTTAAAATGTTTGATTTAACCCCAAAGTAGAAAAAACATTCTACTTAGGGCTGAAGGGACTTAGTTGTGATAGTGTAATAAAGGCTCAATGAAACATTCAAAATTAAGAACTCTTAGGGAATCAAGCAACCATTTGTCCTTTGTAGTTAAACAAAATTAAGTTTAGTCCTTGCCCAAAAGTGGCATAAGGTATTATAAAGTTTTCTCTGCCCTGCTTTCACAGAGCTATGAGAGAAAAGCATTCACTTTCTTGACTTGTTCTAGAAGAAGAGGAGAAAGAACAATAAATGTAATTCACAAAATGCTTTCTCCTTGAAATGATCTCCTTCATCCATTCATCTGTGAATTGTTTGTACTAAATTTGAAATTAGAGCTCTATCTTGGACACGAAGCAGATTATAAACATGGGTAGAACTAGTGATCACTTTAGAATAAGGTTAAAGTTATTCAGGGAAGGTTCCTATCCCTGTGATTCTTTCCTGCAGGCTTTATACTGAAACCTAAAATTGCATAATAATAAATTTTATTTTTCTGCCACAAGCAGTGACATATTCTGCTTATATGCTAAAATCCAATGACACCTAATGCATAAACACATTTGATCACTAACACTTTCATCCAAACTAGTTCAGTAGATTCCTGTTTTGGGCTGTAGGAGTGCCTAATGAGTGACATGTTTGTACTGTTTTCCATAGTGAGATCAACTGAATGCCTGTATCAGAATCAACAGGAGTGTTGCCTAGAAAATGCATTTCCCTCACCCCATCCCATACATACTGGATTATAATTTCTGAAAACGGAGACCCAAAAAGCTGAATGTTTAAAAATTCTCCAAGTAAACTATGGACATAGAGTGTTTGCTAGAAATAAAGCCCTGCACACAGGGAATTACCTGGTAAAAATGACTGTATTTATCTTGAACAAACACTTTCAGAAAGAATGTAGTTTAGAACAGATGCATCAACAAACCAGTAGGCCCAGGAGGAACTGCCTTCCACTTCAAACTTTGTATGAGAAAGCACAGAACACCTACAAGGGTATATGTGTCCTATCCTGGGATCTCTGGGGCATCAAGATTCTCTTGTTACCTCCTCTCTGATAACAATTTGTCACTGCTGAGAGGTTATTTTTAAATATAGTGTCAAGCTTTTATGCTACAATTAAAAGTTTGTGAATATCATTATACCAGCCATCTATTTTGATCTAAGAATCTTACTACTCTTTAACATGTCCTTATCCTTTTGGTTTTTCTCAGTCCATTCAGTTGTACTTCTTTTTCACGCTCATTGTTCACCCACACTGTCTGCTTGCACAGAAAGAGTCACAGCATCGAGTTAAATCACAGGCTGCAGGCTTGAAAGCTGTCTTTGAGCAGCATGTTTAGCATCTTCTGGTGATGGACCCCTTTGAGAATCTGACAAGGAACACTCTACTCAGAAAAATAATAACGACACCATGTACCTTTTCTACGGTATAAGAAGGTTCAGAGGTCTGCTAAAGCCCAGTTCTAAGCCGAGGGAAGAACTCTCGACTTTGTGATGACAGAGTCTACCTCTCTCCATGTAGGCTCCAGGTCTAGTGCGTCCTACGATGGGATAAGCTGCCTTCAGGTCAACCTCACCAGTAATGGGAAGTTAACAACCTTGGGGAGTCGTTGAACGCAGAATGTGTTTCTCTATGATGTGCCTCAAGCAGGAACCCTATAATCTTCAATCAGTAGTGCTGATGCTTTGGTACTTTTTTTTATTTGGGGGAAATAATTTTTAAAAAAGAATACATTTATCAGTTTGTATCTAAAGCTAATGGGTTAGCATACCTTCTGAAGCCAATTCTCCCTTTCAGCATTATCATATTTTTTATTTGACTGAATTGTTTCGTTTCTTCCTTCCTTTCTTTCTCTTTCCTTCCTTTCTTTTTCTCCTTCCTTCCTTCCTTTCTTCCTTCCTTCCTTCCTTCCTTCCTTCCTTCCTTCCTTCCTTCCTTCCTTCCTTCCTTCCTTCCTTCCTTCCTTCCTTTCTTTCTTTCTTTCTTTCTTTCTTTCTTTCTTTCTTTCTTTCTTTGTCTCTCTCTCTCTCTCTCTCTCTCTCTTTCTTTCTTTCCTTTTCTTTCTCTTTCTTTCATGGAGCCTCACTCTGTTGCCCAGGCTGGAGTGCAGTGGCATGATCCAGCTCACTGCAACCTCCACCTCCCAAGTTCAAGTGATTCTCCTGCCTCAGCCTCCTAAGTAGCTGGGATTACAGGTGTGCATCACCATGTCTGGCTATTTTTTGTATCTTTAGGAGAGACGGAGTTTCACCACGTTGGCCAGGCTGGTCTCGAACTCCTGACCTCGTGATACATCCAGCTTGGCCTCCCAAAGTGCTGGGATTACAGGGGTGAGCCACCGCACCCAAGTCTGACTTGATTGTTTCTATAAACATAAAATCTTATTGTAAGCACCACCAAACAAAACAACAAAACCCATGACCCTCTTTAGCAACTACCTCTCCTTTTCCTCCTCTCTCCTCTCAACTTCTCTTTAGTTGGTCTCCCCACCTGCTCACCTCGCTTCACACTGCAACTGATTCCAGTCAATATTGAGACATTTGGTGGGCAGTTTAACATGTCGACTTGGCCTAGTTATAGTCCCCTGTTATCCAACCAAACACTGACATAGTTACTGCTGTTATATACTTGGTGTCTACAATCATTTGACTTTAAGTAAAGGAGATTATCCTAGGTAATCTGAATGGATCTAATTCAGTCAGTTGAAATGCTTCAAGAGCAGAACAGAAATTTCCCTGGGAAAGATGAAAATTCACCTGTGGACTGAAGTTTCACATCCTTCCTGAGAGTTTCCAGCTTCCCATTCTTGATGGCCCGCCATATGTATTTCAGGCGCGTTTAACCAGACCCACAGTTGTATAAGCTAATTCCTTGCAATTAGTCTCTTTATATATATAAGTATCCTACTGGTTCTGTTTCTCTAGGGAAACTCTAAATAATACAGAATGCTCTAGAGAAACTATTCTTCTGAAGATCACCAGTGATTTCCAAGAAGCCCAATTCAGTGGACACTTAATGTTTCTGAATTCACTCAAGCTCTCAGCAGTATTTGATTCAAAAAGCTATGTCCATATTTTTAAAACCTCACTTTTCCTCCTGTCTCACTTGCTAATTGGCTATCTCAGTTCTTCTACTACTTTTCCATCTATTCTCCATGCTTTGTTGAATTGATAGAGTTTTGTAAATTCAAACACGTCTATATGCTGGTCACCCCACATCTGTATCTCATGACTTGACCTCAGAGATGATGTACGCAGCAGCCTACTTGATATTTCCACTTAAAGTATAGTAGATATATCAAATAGAATATAGCAGAATGGAACCCTTGATTAGTGGTGCCCTCAGCAACCTGCTCTTCCGTAACACTCCTCCCCATCTCAGTAAACGGCAGCACTCTCCATCAACTTGCCTATGCAAAACTCTGGGAAGGAGCCTTGGTTCTTCCTTCTCTATTACTTCAAGTCTTATGCAACTTACCTACAGCTAACAGTAACTCTATCAGTTACTTCCTACGAAATGCATCCTAAATCCATGTACTTCTCCCACCTTTGTGAGTAGAAGCCTCTGTCGGTTCTTACCTGGAGTTGTTAAGTAACCTTCTGTCTGGAGTTCCTGTTTCCACACCACAATCTCCCCAAAACCATTTTTAACACAGTCAACAAAATGTTCTTAATAAAGAAGGAATAAAACCATAGCATTCCCCTTCTTGATTCACGTGAAATAAAATTGAGATTTCTTACTGGCAAGTAAAAGTCCTTGTTGAACGATTGTTCCCAGAATCTACAGGGCTGACTCCTTCTACCAATGTGATTCTTAATTTTAATGTCACCTCTTCAGAGAAGTCCCCCCTGACTCTTCCTCTAGTTACCTGTCTTCCTTCTTGTGCACCCACCATTAGCCCATTATTATATGCCCATGGATATGTGATGTGCTGTCATTTACTTTGTGTTGTTCACCACAAAACAGAATCTTACTGGCTGGGTTTGCTTACTTCTTTCTTGTTTGCCTACTCTAGTACCTGCACAGGAAAATGTACCATGAGATCAGGCACCTTGTCTACTAACAGCCAGCACTTAATTGGCACAAAAAGTCAGTCAGTATTTGTCGAATGGGTATATAGATCTATCAATCCAGCCTCATTCTCTCAGCTTAGGCAACCAGGTTCTTCCAGAATTACTTGGTTTTAGTAAACCTGTTGTACTTTCTAAGAAACTACTTTTGTTTCTATGGGCTTAGTAATTTTTTCAAATTTTAGTTGCGTATGTTGCTAAAGATTGGTAGAATTCTTACAGCTCTATAGTTTCTTCAGACTTAACCCTTTACAGTTTGGAAAAATTAACATATTTCTTCCACTAATTTATTCATTCAGTAGATACCATTTATTTAGCCTTTAAGATACCAGACATCTTGCAATGCTCTAGGAACATCACAAAAAATAAGACCTTTTTCTGGACTCTGTCAGTCTTGTATTTGTACTCAGAAGCACTTTTCTTGTGATTACATGTCATCAGTTAACTGTGTGATTGTCTAACGTCTGCTTCCCCTGACTCGACAAGACAGCTTTCCACAATGCCCTGGATTGTCAACATTGTCAAATGTTGGAACCTGAAATTCTTTTAGAGAGAATACATCCTAATGAACCTTCTAATACTCAGATGATTTTTTTATTCACAAAATCAAAGTTAGCCACCTACGATTCCTGAGCATAGGCAGCTCCAGGTACAAAGTTTAGCTGTTGACCAGGCCAAGAGCTTCTGGGCTAGCGTGCTTCCAATCCTCTATCCCTTACCTGTGTTCTCAGACCTAGTTCTACATAAGAATCACCT